ATGTGTATAATCTCCTGCATGTGGAGAATTTCCATAACATCAGAATTAGCAAGAAGTAAATAGGGAAAAAACCCTGAATGGAAACAAATGGAAGACTGACATGGCTGTGTTCCACAAAGTACGTACTGCAGCTGCATCACTGCTCTGGAACAAAGGGGAATATAATTATTGTTGTTTTATTTTCAATTCCCATTAGCAAACCAAAAGCAAGTAAAAGTGGTTATTTCTGCAGGGGAGAGCTGGCAGGGGTGTGTATGAGGTCACACAGGGAAAGCATGAGGAGACTTTCTTAAGACCAAGTAGCTCATGCACCCAAAGAAAAATCTATCAGTAAAATTCACCATTCACACTCTGTTCCTGCAGGGCTGAGTCAGGCTTCTCAGATGCCCTGAGGATAAGGCTCAGCCACACCTGCTGGGGTAGGGCAGGACTTGGCTGCTTTTACTGTCAGCCAAGCCAAAAGTAAGAATTGCTTTTGGGGACACAGCTACTTTTGTCACACTGGCCTCCACTCCCAGTGTGCTTCCTGCTCCCAGGGAAAGCGAGGCCTGCCATGGTCCTTCCCTGTAGCCAAAGATTTCTAGCTTCACTTGTGGGCTGAGATGATTTGCCATACAGGCAGATACTCAGCCATACACTACTTGCCTCAGTTTGTTGTTTCCTCCTTATTTATGACAGCAAGAAATGAAGCTCCTCATTCTGTCTCCCTTCTTTCTTTGATTTTTTGAGTTAGTTCTTTGGCCAGAGACTTGCATCACTTACTTGCTTGCAAAAAGAATCACTGTGGATAGAGAAAAATAAATTAACAGTAATTGAGGAGGAGAGATAAATCAACATCCAAGCTGCAGAATGGATGCCACCAATCCGTGTATAGAGGAAAAGCGTCAGTCAGGGGAAATTTGCAGCATCCTTCTACTGTAACTCAATCCATCTTTTTCAGTTCAACCAACCCACACATATGCAAGGGGGGTTTCCTCTTCCTCTCACTCCTGGAGCATGTTAATACTCATGGCCAATAACGATATGAACCACCAACAAAAGACCGTGCTTTTTGTCATTAATATGATCTTTAATAAATGGAATAATGCACCATTTTTACAGCAAGCCTTTTCTCTCAGGCCTAAAGAATAGCCTTTTAAATGTTCTTATCCAATGTCTCTGTATCAATACAATCTCTTTATTTAGGTTTATATATAACAAAGCAATTCTTACAAGTATTCATAGAAAACTCTGTAGTGGCTTTAACAATGTCAGCTTTCATAGTGGCATCCACAGATGATTAAAAACCAAAAATTAGCTTTTTATTTCATACTCACACTGTTCCATGAAACAACTTATACAGCATAGCAAGGGTATTGCGCAGCTTATACAAAAGAAATAACTGAAAGCAATTATTTATAAATTCATACATGATATTTTTTCAGTCGTTTGAGAGGAAAACCAAAAATACCCGTTAACAAAAGGGTTCTGATGAGACTCCATATTCTAGGATTTCTCCCCCTCTTCCCCTAGAAAAGCTCGCTCAGAAAGTACTGCTCTCTTTACAGTCTTTCATAAGGAAAATGGCAGTTTCACATCTTCTTACTTCAGCCTTTACAGAAGACCAAACCCTAAAAATTCCTTCTTGCCATGTTTATTTTCCTCTTATACTGCATTTGGGGGGAAAATAATCAACAGCGATTGTAAAACATTATTCCAGCTTATATAAATGTGAATAGAGCACGCTTTCCTCTAGAGACAAAAAGCAGACAAGAAACATAGAAACACAAACCATTTTAAATACATTTCAACAGTGTGAAAGAGAGAGAAGAGTCACCAATCAGGAAATTCAAAAGTGACAAATGAGTCAGCTATAACTTGGACTTGCCTGTTTGTTCTTGTGACTTCTTACAAACTACAAAGACCAGAAACATTAACTATTTTCTGAATAAACAAGACTGAAGTGTGAAACTTCATGATACAGTTCTGAAGCACAAAAAAGAAAGTGAATCAAGTGCTCTAGAAACAAACCTCACACATGTTTTCTGTCTTAAAAACAAGTGAATGGGCTACAAAAGTGGAGGTTTGGGAGACCTTGGAACTAGAAAGTTATAAAGGCTAATTATTTCTGCTTTAAAATAGTTACCAGGTGAGACGCTGTGCCACGATGGACACACTCCAGTGATAGATCTGCAGAAGCCTGTAAGGACTGGGAAGAAATCCTTCCTGTGCTGTGGTGTATGCATTGAAGTTAACCAACTGAATGACTTGCAAATTCAAACAATTGCTGATGAAATCAGCAATAGGCTTTGAAAAATGGCTGATGATTACACTAAGAATTAGCATAACTCCAACTAGTTCCTGCTTATTATGCACACGTGTATATTAAACCACAGTGAAATAAACAGAAATGGCTGCAAGAAGTAACTTGTATTAATAATGCACTGCTAACACAGACCAGCATGGAGCCCAGATCAACATTAAAGGGCCTTGGTGTAAATGAGGATTTATCTTGAACCCTTCCACTCCCACTCCCCCCGTGCAGTCCCACTTCCTGACAAAGCCACAGCTGCCCTGTGCTGACCCAGCTCCACAGCCTGAATCCCCGACTGCAACACCCAGCAAGGCTCAGGAGCCAGGGCTGCCCCTGCACTCCCACATTCCACATCAGCTTTCCCAGGGCTAATCCTCCCCAGAAACCTGTAACAGAACAGCCAGAACCCACCGCTCCTCTGCCCACTGCCAGAGGCAGACTCCTGCTGGATTCCAAGAGCACTGGGCTCAGCCACGAGCCCTGGAGGTGCCCATTCCCTCAGGAACACAAGTGCTGAACATAACATCCATCTGCATTTGCAGGAGCACAAATCTGTTCTTGCAGAAATGGAAGTTCTGCCTCCAATTTTACTCAGTACAGAAGAATCCCCAAATGAGAAAACTGATTTGTTACTCTTTCATGTCAAAACTGAACCTACTTGGGGGATGGGTGAGATCAAAAAGGGATGTATTTCTATAGCTACAGTTTCATATGACAATATAGAAGCCTAAAATGCAATTTGATTTAATGGACTAAAATACTATGTTTAAATGGCAACCACACATATAACTATAGCTACTACATAAAAAAGCCTTGTAAAAATTATCACGTTTTAAGTGTTTTGGGTTATTTTTTGATCATTGAGAGAGGTATCTTAAATTACTCAGCTTCAGATAAAGCTTGTCATGTGCATTCCCAGGCTTTTCTCTCTCTCTCATATAAATCCATTCCACCCAAACAATCAGTGACAAGTCTGTCACAGGAGATCCTGAACTACTGGACTGTGTGTCACAGTCTGATCCCAGCTTTACTGTGATGCACTACAGACAATTTTAAAATGGCATATGAAAAATCCCCCCCACATTATACTTTCTACCAGTGCTACCATCTGATGCTGTAACTCACAGAATTTAATCCTGGAACTTACACACAACATATATATGCATCTAAATACACACAGAGTTTGCAAAAAATATATATATATCTGGCTGCACTGCAATATGTATAGTTTTTTCACTGAAGAAAGGCTTGAGGTTGAACAAAAATTAGTAAGCATGTTTTAAAAAGAAAGTTAATATAGTTACCAGTTAAAATGGGTACTGGGAGAGCAGACAGAAAAGTTCAAATAATCCCAATTTATGCACAATATTGTTGTCCAGTCTATGATCTTTCAAAGACTGATCAATCCAATTTCATTTCACTTTGATGAGCTGCTAAAAATCTTCCAATTAGATATCAGATCATTTATATGCTACTGTGCTTGGCAATTATTATTTTTATGGCTTCAACCCAGCCTATTCCAGCAATGGGACCAGCCATCATTTTTATACAAGTAAAAACTACAGCATAATTAATTTCTAATGTACAGATTAAATATGTCAATTTTAAAATTCACCCTAATTAGGCAAGAAATGTCCACAGTAACATTTCAATGGAAGAATGGTTAGGAACTTTTGTATTTTTCATGTAAAGAAAATAACAATCTGAACATCCACACAGTAATGTTGTATTAGTGGATATTTTTTAACATTTAAAAATGAAATATCATTGGCGCAAAACGCACTGAACACTGGAACTAGGGCATATACAATGTATATATATATCTTTTTAAGTAAGTATTCATTACTATTAAGTTTGGGGCCAATAATTTATTCCATAAATTAAAGAACTTCCTTATTCTCCTCTCTGAGGCAGGTAGGATTCCAGATTTCTTTTAGAGAAAGCTGACAGGTAGGAGGATGTGAACTTTCTGAACATATTCATGAGGTGGGAGGTTTTTGTTGCTTGTTTCCTGAAAATTGCCAGCATCTATCTTGCATTGTTTTGTGCCCAGTGCACTGAAAAAAAAAATCAAAATGTGTTGCCTTTGAAAATCAGATAATTTTCTATATGAAAAACTAGAGACAAATGAGTGGCACCAAGAAAGCAAAACAAGAATGGAAATGTTGTTTCTGAAAATATTGTAATTATGATACCATCAGATGGTTTTCTTTTAAATTGGGAATACCTTTACTTGAGCTGTGCAGTGTAAGTGCATCTTGGAGTTTCAAGAAAGGCCTTGGTAACACTAACTGGCTAGTATATCAAGCTGTAAAGCACTATAAGCAAATTCAGGGAAATGTTGCAGATAATCTGACCTGTAAATACCAATTACAATCTGAGAAATACAAATACCAACAAGCATGTCTGTTCAAAGGGCTAGAATTCACAGTTTAAAAACCATGTTACGTTGGTATCTCTATTACAGGACACAGAACAAGAGACAATGCATTAACCTAAACAACTCTCCTGCCTTCTGCTAGTAAACCATTTTCTATACCCAGCAAGATGTTGGATTTTGTCTTATACAGACAAACATCAAAACTGTTTGCTCTATCATTTTACTTGAATTCTCCATTATAAATTACATAACAAATATTCTACTATTGCCTATTTGACAGTGGCACAATTAATAGGTATTTACACTACCATTCTATTTTAATTTCGCTGTATTTATCTTGCCTGCAATATACATGAGAAATTGATGGAAAATTATCAACTTTCATAATTTTCCTTTTTTTGAAAATCAAATAAGCAAAATCATAACTCACAAGGAAATGAATCACATTTGGTTTCCTTGTTTATTGTACAATAACAACCATCCCCATGTTTGATTTGTAGAATTCTTTCTCTTACATGTATTTTGTTTGGTTAAGGACGATTCCCTGCAGCAGGAAAATTCAATTTCATTTAACTTACAGAGATAGTATTCTATGGACACTGGATTATGTGGTGTGAGGAAAAAAATGGCATTACTAAATTAAACATTAAACCCAAACTTCTAACCTGATTTAATCTAGCTGTGCAGAATTACAGTATTTTGGGACCTACTTTAGAGTTTGCTTTGACTGACCTTTCAAAAAAGAACAGATTTTATCTGTTTAATCTACATTTCCTGATAAAGTACATTTTTCTATCATTTTACAAATTACATTTATCCATGGTAGATTGCACAGCCAATCTTGCTACTAATTATAATTTATTCCAAACACCCTCCAGCAAGTAACAGAAATAGACAAAGGAAAGAAAAAAAGTATTGTTTACGAATGTTGAAGGAAATCTGCAGAACAACATCTTGATCTGGTATTAAAGTTATTTTGATTGCATTGATCACAAAAAAGTTGGATTTCTTACAAAGGCATGGCCTGCAAAGAAAGGCTAAAAGACTGGTGCAATTCTGTCTCAGCAGAAGGAAGCAGCAGTCAGAGAAGTAATTTTTCTCTCCCCAGAACAGTCTGATTTAGTAAGAGTCCTAAATATTGTTTTCAGCCCACATTCTGAAATGCTGATGGATGATACATGCAAGGCAAAGAAAAGTCATTGGGATAGGAGTGAAGAATCCTCAAGACCACGATCAGTGCTCCCCAAAAAACACCACCAAGCACCCCAAATGGAGACTCACAGGAGGCCAGAGGAGAAGAGAACCCAGTGAGCAATATGAATAGAATGCCAGAAATTCTGATTCAGGTCTTGAAACCCAGCTGGGCAACTGGCAGGTTTTCAACATCTGGGACGTGAGACTGCAGCAGATGGGAAGCCAGAGAGTGAATTAAAAGTCAAACTAGAAGAAGGCTGTGTTTTTAAAAAGGGGTGATATAAGTGCATTATACAGGGGGAAAGCATAATTATGCCTCAGAGACGAGAGGTACTATTTGAACTGGTGCTTAAAGAACATAGGGAGCTCAAAATGTGCCTTGTGGCTTGTACTTCTACAACTACACTTACTCAAAGTCTGCATTTATAGTGCTATCTCTTGGAGATATCTAGGAGAATCTAAGAAATGTAAAGAAGTGTTACAAGAGAAAATCATAGCAATCAAGAACAAGCAAGGAATTTTCGGCAACAGCAAGAATCAATCAGATGTAAGCAAGGCATGTATTAGATTAGCTGTATCAGCAGATAGAGAAGAACAGGGTTGGCAAAGTTTACCTCAGGGGGAAAAAATGGTAAAATGGCAAGGAAACAAATGAGCTTAAAAGCAGAGAGCATCTGCTTCAGTCAGCTGAAAGGAGACAGGCTGGGGGAGGCAATTGTTTGCTGCCAGTATCCTGCCACAGGAGTCTGGCAGGCTGACTGAATTGATTTTCTTTCTTTGAACATCACCAGTTTTCAGATGAAGTGATAAATCTTTGCTTGTTACCAAAGACTGATGTGATACATCTTTTTATTTCCAAATAGTTTTTACTGAAGGGTTTTCAATTGGAAAGAATTCTCAGGTGGAAGGCTGTTTCTTAGGTGGAAGGAGGTTCTAACTAATAAGAAAATTATTTTCTTTCAGTGGACAGTAAAACCAATCATTCCAAAAAAAGGAAGGGTTTACTTGAGATAGTGAATAAGCTATTTATCTCAATACATATTACATTCACATTCACTGACAGCTAAAATCAATGTGCATATCAACTGAAAGAAGGGACTAAGCAGAGGGGAAAAAAAATCCCCAACCCTCCCCCACAAACACCCATGACTTTTAAAAGCATGCAATAAACCTTAACAAGATGAATGAGGGCCTCTAAGAACTCTGGAGGGAGGACGAGTTTCAACTCAACTTGGCAACAACAATCAATTAGGATGCACCTACCTGCATAAGGAATCAGGCTCATTTTTACTCCTTCCTGTCTGTAAGGAGGTAAATCAGGAAAGACTTGTGACTCATCACCAAACTGTTTTGTGCCAAGTAAGATCGATGGTTTTTTTCTCTGTGTAAACAAAATACGTTCACAACCTATCTTCACTCAAGCTTTTAAAGTATGACAATTACTAATATTTCTGAATAAAATGTATTTTTCAATGTACATCATTAGTGATCTAAATAAGGTTTTACATAAATACAGGGGGTGAAACTCCACACAAAATAAAATGGAAAAATGGCTGACACTGTCTCCTTACATTTGTTCAACATTTTGTTACTTAGCTTCACAGGCTGGCATCTACTACTATAAAGGAAACACATTTTGATTAGGGAGGATCAAAAGAAAGGTACAGAGCTCAGATTGGTTTTTTTTTTTTTTTGTTCCTTTTTTAAAGCCCTTTCAAGTTGGGGAAAATTCATGCATTGTCACCTCTGAGCACAATGTGATAATGGCAGCTGCTTCAAGCTGGCTACAATGTGCAAAGTTCACTGTCATGACCGGCTGACTGCTCAACTGTCAAGGAAAAATTAACAAATACAAAAATGGGAACATGTGGCAGTTTTAGAAACACACTTTTCAATAAAGCCTACTATGAACTATAGACTATTGCACATTTCAACATGACACAAGGAAAATAAGGGGTTCAAAAGAGAATACACTTTGTAACATAGAAATATACAGACTAGCTTGTGCACAGAAATCAAAACATGGTTACAAGACACCACTGCAGTCAAACCTGTCTTATAGTCTGCTTATGTTCTTAGTGACCTTAAGAAACTGGTCCAAACTGATTATCAGCAATACTTTTTTTTGTTACTTTTTTTTAAAAAAATATTTTGAGACCACATCTTTGATACACATATATATATTCCGTGGTCAAAACAGACAGACTTAACTTTAGCGATACTAAATAAAAGTGCAAAAACGTTCAAAAAATAAAACAAAATAAAAAATATGGAAGCATAAGCTAAAAATTTTCTGCATAGCTGAAATCTATTTAAAGCGAGTCCTTGGTAGGGGTTGCTGACAGGAGGAGAAAGCAGTTTTTTAAAATGTCTTCTGCACGTTTGTTTCAAATAACGCAAAACAAAGGTGGGCTTTTGAAGCGCTTCACAGGCAGTTCACCCCTGCGTCCTTGGAGACCATGGTGGTGGCAGTGCCCCCCTCTGCAAGGTACACAGCAGTGCTGGATTTGGGGGGCACTGCCTGCTCGCCGCCGTTGTTGTTGACCTCGCAGTGCAGCGGCTCCGTGGAGATGACCCACGTGGATGGACGCCACCGCTTGAGCGAGTACGGGGTTTTCACACGTTTCTTGATCTTCTCTCCTGAGCCTGATTTGCCATCCTGTGAGGAGTCACCTACTGAAGGGAAAAAACCAAACCAAAACAAGAAAACAGAACAGAAAATAGCATTATGAGAAAGGCGAGATTAGACTGGAGTCCAGGGTTGTTACTTATGTGAAACAGAAACAAAAGAACAAAATCTACAAACACAGAAGCAACTGTGGGGCAGAGGCATGACAGGTGTATCAACTACAACAGCTGCCACTAAAACAAGGGCTTAGATTCTGTTCTCTGTCAGAAATTACTTCACTGAAGTAATTTGTGTTACCTGGAGTGCACATGGGCATCAAACAGGAGAATCAGCATTTGACATTTGAGGGGCTTTTGCAATCATAGTATCTTATATAACCTGCAATGGGAGGTACAAAAGAACATTGCTACTACAGGACAGCAAAGGCTAACACTTAAATAGTGCAATGTTAGGTCCCCTAATCCTACTCCACCTGGCAAAGCATTTCACCTGAAAATAAAATAGTCCATTCTCTGTTAAGACATTAAGTCAGGATTTGGAGTGCTGGGTTGTAAAACTGGCAGAACCAACTTTAACAGTGATAAAACTTCAGCAGTCAAAATCTGATTGTTAAAAAAACTTTACACAACCCCTTCTTGTAACTTAAACTTCAATTAAAGAAAGTCACTGCAATAATATTTTTTCTTTATCTTGGTAAGATTTCAACTCACATCAACATGTTAAGACAAAAATGAAGGTCTCCTACTTAAAAGGAAGGCTTAAACATTCCATCGCTAAATATTCAATTATATCTCTTGAAAGATATGTTCTTGTTTGGTTTTAAACCTTTTACTTCCAAAGATGCCTGGCATCCAGTTTACTTCACTAGTATCACAGCATCTTCCTAAACACACTCATGAGATTTGCAAGCACCTTTCAAGACTACAGTGACTTCTGGAAATATATTTTCTTTAAAATGCACACCACGAGATCTTTCCAATAGCTCAAACAGGCTCAAATCCAGAGGATGTACCTAATTTAACTATAACTACATGATTACATTCTTACTGTAAAAAGGAGAACCCCATTGTAACCTCTTAGACCTCTGGCCATAAAACTCTCAAGGAAGTTTTTCTGAAATAAACTATTAAAATCAATTCCTTCTCTAATTACATGGATTAATATTTATGTACATGGCAAACTGATGAAGAATTTCTCTAATTGTTGGAGCTAGGACAGCAAAATAGAAAATGCCTGACTGTCCACTTAGGCCGGGCTAATGCAGTACAATCAGTTGCTTTAAAATCATTAAGCATATAAGTAGTTACTATAATAAATTATTTTAATCAATGCATCTTAGAGACAGCTACACTTGAAAGAATGAGGAAAAGTAAGAAAAAAAAGGTTTAAAGTGCCCCTGCAGAAAAAAAGGACACTTTTCCAATATGCTTTGCAGCTACCAAAGGTAGAAGCCTTGCAAGGAATAATGAAAGTTAACCTAGAGACAGAGTGGATGGGTTAGAAAGAGACAGATTTATTCTGTGCATGTAGAAGGATGATAGTGATCTAATATACTGGAAATGATGGAGACAGGACTGTATCAAAAAGACAGAAGTTGTGCTGAGGGAAATTACATTTATATGAGATTTAATGAGTATGCTTTGAGGAGAAACGGGAGACAGAAATAATTTCTGAGCAGATATATGCAGTTATTAGGTAGAGAGGTGTCAGGGAAACCATTCAGCCCTGCAGGCACTTACACTGCATACTACTGCTATCCAAACTACTTGTGGCTGACAGATCCAGCGAATTAGGCCTCTGTGCTCTTCTGCTCTGGGTCTGCCCAGGATTTCTCACTACACTCTGGATGCTGGCCGCAGCAGTGTCTGGACAGGGATTACTGTTGTTGTTGTTGGCGTTCGTTCGCCCGTTGTCCAGCGGCCGCTCCCTCCTGTCCACCAGGCGGTCCAGGACACCTTCATCGTGGCCGACCTGCTGCTCCCGCCTCAGCAAGGGCTCGTGCTCGTCGGGACTGGAGTTGATATTCAGCCGACTGTCCTCGCCACTGAACTGGTTCTGAAGCATTTCCTGGGCCCTCTGCGCCACCGAGCCGCTGCTCTGGCCAGAGGGCACCGTGCCGTTGGCGTACTGGGCTGTGCCAGTGTGAGAGTTCATGCCGTGGCTCCTGCCGGCCACTCCGTTCATGGTCACCGTCACCACGTGGGGCTCTGCAGCATTGATAGTGTTCATCTTGGCTACGCCCGTTTCCACCTGCTTCAAGTTTGATTTGTGCTTGCCACCGAATTTTAACCGTGGCTCCTTGGTTGAATTTTTGGTGTTTAGAGGGAGGCTAGTAGGCCTCTTCGGTAGGTTCTGCTGCTTGGGTAGAGGATAGACCTGAGCAGCTGGGACATCCGGGATCAAACACGCCTGACCGTTGGTAGCTTGTGTGAAGTCCTGCTGCCCTGTCACCTCTACTGCAAGTTTTATCAGTGGGTAAAGCAAGCTGGAACTAGTGCTGCTCAGCGGATCTGGCCCACTAAACTGCTTAAGTGAATGTTCCATCAGATTCTCATCAGAGCTTTCTTTCAGGTTCTTATCCACTTCTTTTGGATCCAATTTATTTGTCTCCAAGTCCTCCTCTGTTAGCTGCAGACAAACAGGGGTGGGCCCACCCGGCTGCATGACATTTGTAGTGTGTAAGTTTGTTTCATCCGAGTAAGGCATTTCGGAGATGGTGGTCATGCCGGTGCTGGGAGTGAGGCCAGCTGTATTGGTGGTGGATAAAGTGGTGACACTTGTCTCGGGACTGGGGATGCGAGCTTGTGCTTGCTGCCGCTCGTAGTTAATGGAATTTCTATTCTTTTCCCCTGAAGTCAATGGTGTAGTGGACATTGAATGTTCAGAAGAAATGTTCTTTACTATGCTGTCAGTGTGGTGGATTGAATCTTCAATGTAGGAAGAGGAAGAATAATCTGGATATGGCCTTATCTTTGATACACGTCTGTGATGCGACAGATTCCTTTAAAAAAAAATAAGAGGTATTAAGATCATATATGTAAAAATCACCTCATACTATAACGCCTCTCATTTAAGAGAGCTGAGTGTCTTTCTGTTTATTTTCATGCACAAACTAAGGATAGATACAGTACAAACTAAGGTATTTCAGCAACTTCCTTGAAAAGGGCTGGGAATAAAAAAATTTGTTTTACTAGGGCAAAATTTCATTATGGATATTACTTCCTAGCAGAAAAATAATGTTCTATTTGTCCAATACACTGTTTGTCCAGTTGGCAAACAACTGCTAAGGTTCTGCTCTAGATGCAGAGAAGTGATGGTGAAGAAGGTCAACAAAAACCCAAGAGACTAAATCAACAAAGTGATTCTGGGAAATGTCACAAGGTCCTAACCCATGAAAATGCTACTATTTTAACAATTTAAGTATTTTATGATTTGAACATAATATTTTTTTCATGACAATGAACAGTGTCATATACAACAACATTATTCTTCTCTCAAATCTGGATTTCTAGAGTATACTATTAAGCACTAAAGTCAGTTCTGCAAATTCTCACTCCCTCTGGATCATATATAAGGAGAGAACATGCAGCACTTCTCTTGCTGAGGTCAGAACAACAATGACTTAAACAATGGCCCTGCACTTTGTAAACTGAAAAACTACAGGTTTGAGACTTGGTAATTTCCTGAACTCACACTGACTGCAAATTCACAGTTTTTAGCAGAACACTTTAAACAGAAGTTTGATGCATCATTTAGCCCGTGTACTTAACGACAATTCACTTTGTCACTTCCCATCATGGCAAGCCTGCTGGGACAGTTTGCCTAAGCTCAGTTTAAAAGGCCCCTCTGTGAGAAATACAGTTGTATACATAAAAGGTGCCTGAATTCTGGGGACACACAGGAGATCTTAAGAACACAAGCAATTGGGATTTTGCCATGCAATACCCATATGCAGACCAGGTCATGTAACACACACCACTGAATGGGTGCAGCAAGCTGTAGCTTCTGCCCTGGAGTGAGCCAAGCGCTGCATTGGGCATTCCCTGCTGTCTAAACCCAAATGTGCTCTCCACTTACCTCTCATTTTGCATGGCAGTTGACATAGGATTGACTGTTGGACTAACTGATTTATTTCTCTCCCAAATCATCATGAGCTCTGCCATTCTCTCCTCAGCACACTGTGCTGTTAGTCGAGCTTCTGCATCTTGATCCCAACAGTCTTCAATAGTCTCTTTAAGTGACCTCACAGCCTGCCAGGAGATAAAACCCCTTTAAGTTATTTTACCTTCATACTGTACTTCTAATTTACTGTTTTATGGCAGCATTCTACATGCCTGAAAACAGTCACAAGCTGGTGAAAGAGAGAAACAGAAGATACACAATTTTATTCACAGCAAATTAAACCTAATACTAGCAATGTGCAATTTAATATTAACACACCTCACATACACACATCAACTGGGAAGACACTTAGCAAAAGCTACATTCACCAATGTCCATACAGCCTTCAGCCAAGCCCTCTGATGGATGCATGCTCTGCTCACTCTCCTTGCCTTATAAGAGCTGTGTACTAAGGACTGCTGATATTGGAAATGCTGCCATGGTTATTCTCACAGTTCTGCTAATGGTCACTGCTTTGCTCCCCTGCACTGTATGCAAATAACAGCTGTGCTCTCTTCATCATCCTTGTCTTCCTGTTTACCACAGTGACATCCAAATGTCTCGTAAGTATCAATGAATTTGTCTGCCCCATGGGAGGAGATTTTTGTTGCACTTGTTTTACAGGTGGAGAAACAGAAACACACACGTGTTCCTGGCATCACACTGTGGGATGAGCTGTACAGTCAGGATTAGAGCTCAGGACCTCCAAAACGTGCTGCCATATGCTCAGGGAACTGGAGAGGAAACAACTGAAATGATGAGCACTGAACACTCCTGTTTGCCCTCTATCTGGAGGACAAAAGCCAGGCAGACATTTCTGGGCCCCTGCTGCCAGCCCATGGCCACAGAAAGGATTTGGTCTGCCAGCACAGCTCCCATCTACAGCCCAGCTTTAACCTCCCCAGCCCTGAGGACTGTGCAGAGTCCCAGCTGGGCACTGAGGCATTCAGTGAGTCCTGCTGGCTGTCTGTGTGCCAGAGCTGCCTTGTGCCCTGCTGGCAGTGGAAGCCAGGACCAGCTCTGAGCACGAGCCAAGAGCTCCTCGCCCACGGAGCGAGCTCCTGGCATGGCTTGCATCTGGCAAGCGCTGCTGCTTGGTGATGCAGCTCTGGCTGCACAGGTGGGGACAAGTTCCCCCACAAGCAAACCTTTCACCTCCCTTCCCACAGCAGATCACACAGGGGACAAGCCAATACTCTCCCCTCAGCTGAGGGACATGAGTCAGGGTACTGGATCCATTTTCTCTCCCACAATAAAATGCCTTCATTCAGCTTTTAGGACTTGATTTTGTCACCATTCAGACTAAATCAGTGGATATCCTAATCTCCTGCCTTTCCTCTTTGCAAGACTTTTCAACCAGTGTTTAATTGAATACTGTCTGTCCTGCAGCAGATCCTTTCCTTTTGATGTGTTAAGGATCACTAAAGGACACAGTAGTGACTGTACAGACAGTACACTGGAGTTCTTCAGCATCACACCACAATTATGTGTTTGCTATTAATTTCAGGTTGAAAGACAACTATGCTAAAATGAACTATTTACAAGTACCAGCACTCATCAAAAAGACAGAAGGGACCAGAAATTTGCATTATTCTATTATTCTGCTAATATCCTTCAGTGCTGACCTCTGAAGCCAAGTGCGGCCCCACTCTGGCACGTGAGACAAGAATATAGTAATATCTCAACACAGCTTAAAGCCTTTGAATTATTTCATGTCCATCCTCTGCTCAGGTTCTTGCTTTATACTATGAAAAACAACACTGCTAATCAAGGTCTGTAACAACATAGATGCTTCCAGAAGCACACTAAGACTGCATAGGTAATCACAAATGAGGATTCCAAATCTTTTGATAATTATGGGATTAAAAAAGAAAGCATTACTTTTTATTTGTATTTCTCAAATGAAAAGGACAAATGCATTTGCTTCAAAGATGAATTTGCATGATGGTATTACAACCCAACATAACAGCAGAGCTTTAAATAATGGAATAAAGTCTTTTATCTCATGTATTAGATACAGGAGGTTAGGATGCGGGTCCAGAGTGAGGTTATCTGGAGCTTAATTTTCTACACTATCTGCGCCCTAGAGTGCTCATTCAGATATTATCCTAAACTGGCATAGGGTGGAAGAAGTTGTTTGACCCCTGTGATTATTATTCTTTTCTCTTAAAGCAATGGTGTAGATAAATTCTTAGAGCTGGAGTTACCACCATTTTGATTATACAGAAAAAAAATTAGTAACACCACAAAGAATGTGCTAGGCATTTTAAATATGGGGATCATCTAATAATGCTGGAGCCTATCAGCTTGGTAGAACATAATGAACATTTAAAATGGCAGTCTGCAAAACAAAACAAACCTTGAACTGTTTCAGAAACAGCTGTCAAGCTTGGTTCTTCCAACACCACATCTGCCAACATGGCTATAGTTAAAACAGCTGTTGTTTGATTTCCTATATAGTTTGGGCACTGATTTCTCTTTTTTCCTCTTCCCCCTTTGCCCCTGAGACTGGGTGGCCAAAGTGTGCAATAAAAGCACCTCTCTTGGAAGCTCTCAGCTGGGTTACAGCATGTTTTACTGCAGTGTACCTCTGCAGGCTATGCTCCTCTGAAAGCAGGCCCCCACCTATTCACACCAGGCGAGGCCTTGGGCTCCTCCTGGTCTGCACAGCAGCTACAAACTTATCAACCACCAAGCCTCTGAAGATTGATGGGCATCATTCAAAATGGGAAAAACAAGAAGTATCCTTCTAAATAACAGCCAAACACGGCAGTTTCACACTTGCAATTCAGCTGTGTTACCTTGTATCAGGTGGAACCCAGTCCCTGTTTGCACTGCACTTCGCTTGTAATAAAAGACAAACAGTCCCCTCCAAAGCAAGGGGATTCACATTGCCTGAGCTTTGCTGCAGATGAAAGCAAGCACAGACTGTCACCAGAGTTCAGCTGACTTGCTCTAACTTGTTGGCGCACAGCAGCAAGGTTCTAAGCCATAGCTACACTCACTCAAAACAACAAGCAATGTTATAATGTTGATAGTCTTGAAAAAAAACTGCAGATCAAATGAAGCCATATAAAATCTTTTATGTAGTTAAAATGAAATTATTTCTAGAAGCTTTAGTCTCTGCAAATCTTGAGGTCTATACAAGTTCAAAAAAGTTTATTACAATGTTTACCAATTTTAGTTTTGGAAGAGTATACTGATGTTTTTGTCAGCTATTTTAGTTGGTATCCTAGTTCAGTTTTATTAGTTTATAAGATGTCAAAAGACAAAAAATGGCTTTGTGTTTCTCATTCAGCACACAGAGAACACATGGGCACTTCATGCCCAATACTACAGACAATGTCTGAAATTAATGTAACAGGTTATCTTTGATAATCACACTGCAGCATGCAACAACAACAATAATAGTATTTTTCCTTGAAAGAAATCTGTCTTTCATGTCAATAACTTTTAAAAACTGAATTCAGTATTTGAGAAGTTCATGCAGAAACAGCTCTCAATCTTTAAATACTAACAAAGAGGAAAAAACCTTAAGAATTGCTTTTAAGAAATGAGTACACCCTAAAGCTGGTTAAATCACTGTTTCTTTGAAAATATTCTCCCTCACCAGGCTGTTCTCCTTCCATGCTTCAGGGAATTTTGGTCTTTGCTTCTCTCTAGACACCAAGACTTGCATATCTTCAAAAGTGGGATGGTTTCCGACTTCAGTCTGGAAAGCCATCTGGTACTCTGGCACAGATTCCCCTGTTAGCAAAAGAAAGAAAGGAAAAAAATCAATCACAGATTAAAAGGCAGAGCAAAGACTTTCAGTTGATGAAAGGCATTATCAAAGTTGCTGTCTATCGAGATGTTCCCCACTTTCCCCAAAGTCTAACTTCCAAAAAAAGCTGAATTAACTGCAAATGAATTAAGTGCTGTTCAGCAACCTTTCAAAGGATAGCATCTTCAGACTGTGCTGGTTCAGTGGCACATTTGGAATGTCTTGGAGCCTGGAGATGACACCAACTTTCTGTGAAATGCCACTGACTGATGATCTCCATGTACTTCATTTGGGAGGAAGCCCAGCAGGATTACAACCCTCTGCACACCAAGAACAGCTGTTTGACTGCAGAGAGTATGCTGCATTTCAGATCCATTCTATATGCTGGAGCTTGGGCAGAAGATGGTGCATGTGGCACCAATCTCATGTGCAAATTTTATGTCCACTTCCTTTTTGTTTATGTTACAGGTAGGGAGGATTTCCCTAAATTTTCCATGTCCTATCCTAAACAAAAGTACAACTGACTAAAGGCTACATTAAGTCATAGCATGTTTTCATGGTGAAAAGTCTGAAAGACACTTCAAGCACGTCTATCAGTTCTCAGAACTGGAAACACAGCCTTTGCCATCAGTCTAACACTCAGTGTTTTTAAACTCTGGACAGTAATACTAACAACAATAATAATGCTCAAAAGGCACCTAGCATGAGGCCTGCGAACCGCCTGATCAGGTCCTACCGAGCCTTTGGGCAGGAGCCACACCTCGCCCCCAGATGTCCTGACAAGCACCACCTCGAACACTAGATGGCACCGACTCAATGGCAGAAGCAGCTGAGGGAACGGCTTCCCTTCTCCACTTTCAAAAGCTCGGGCTCAGGAGCAGCTTTGGGTGCTGGTGCCACTTCCTACTGTTACGGTTTTCTGCAGTTCTTTTCCTTACCTGGGAAGAGGTCTGTACATCTCATGAATATCTCCCAGTAGATCAGGCCCAGAGCATACATATCTACTTGTTTCAAGGCAGATTCACAGTCCCTCAAGTTCACTGCTCCTTCAAGCACTTCTGGGGCCATGTAGCGGATCGTACCGACCTGGGCAAACATCACATCAGAGCTTCACATCAGGAAGGAATTTCCAAATTCAATTAACTTTTTTTGTGCCCTTTTCTGCTTGGTACTCTCTACAGTTAAGGAAAACACAGCTTGTTCCTAATCAATGTCCCCAGTTTTTTAGATTCTTACCAGTCTAGTCATAACAAAACCTTTCCCCTACTCTGCCACTGTTTTGTATGTACCAAAACAAAATTATTTTGTCCCTTACTTAATGTTCTCAAATGAAATATGATATAGCTGAAGTGTTTACTTTTCCAAGTTGCTTTGTTAAACACCAAGGTATGTATCATAAGGAAGAGGATCCTGCTGAATAAGAAACTTGTTCTCTATTCCTGGACTGTCAGGAAGGTTCCACCCTACAACTCCCACAGTCAAAGGTTATGAACAGTCTTGGAAGATACCTATTCATTTTCACTTGGATATGTGGTAGAGTAGAGCACTTATTCATCAGTACTTGTAGGACAGTATTTTGTCAAAGGACTATTCTACAACCCTGAATTTTAACCAGCAGTTTCCCTGTTTCTTTTATCAGTATGGAAAGATCTAGATGGAGCTCTTCTGCTCTAGGTATTTTCAATTTAGCAATTGCTTTCTAGGGGAGAGTGATTAGCACCGTGTAGCATGTTCTTTGAATGACATATGAAGTTTTTCTGTAAAAGCACAGATAACAACTACACTGAACTATTAGGCACTCTTTATTTAAAACAGTCTCACTGTATTTCAGTAGCCTGTATCAGATGTCAAGCAGCAGATGCAAAATGTGGTATGTCACCATTTCAGAAAAATTAACACCAAAATCAAAAATTAAAAAAAAACACCAAAGAATGTTTGGTCTTCAGTTAGCATTTGCAGTACAAAACCAAAGGGACTTCTACCACATAATCACAGAGAACATGGCAACCAAACTTACCTTGTGTCTTCTCGTATCTCACACAGAAAATTCAGTCTGCCAATCTATCGCCTTTCAAAATGGCAGGTTTGTGATGAGTATTTTGAGAATAGTTTTCTCAGAAACTGCGAAGCCTCCACAGTTTCTTCCTGGGGAGGCTTCAGCCCCTTCTCACCCATACTGCATTCCCCATTACAGAAATTGTACCAGCTGAACATTCATCCAACCATTGTACTCACCTCACTAATGGCTGCATTGTCTTCCTCACCAGGTCGTACCAGCCTGTTCCCAGTCAGCTTCATGGAGAGCCCAAAGTCACTGATGACACACGTGCCATCGTTCTTCACCAGCACGTTGCGGCTGTTCAAGTCACGATGCGATATTGCAGGTTTGTAATGCTCTGTTTGGACACACAAGTGCTTTTACCATTTCAGCAATTCCACTGCTTGGCAAAATGAGAGAACCTCGTTACGTCTGCTCAGCTATTATGAATAAAGAATCACTTTATTTTTTAGAAGGCTAGTGTTTTTGTTTCTTTACAATGAGCTCCAGAGGAAGCTTCCTAGAGAAAACTGACTGGCAGCCAGAGTTTCACTGTATCTATACGATATATTAGGCTACTGCCATACACAATTCTGATGTTCACCAACACTCTTCTTCCCAAGGGGTATTTCAGCACGACTTTGGCAGTGGAGACATTGTACAGTTAAACACAAACCTGCTGCCACAGCCCCAACAGCCATTCCAAATACTCTCTGTCACTTCCACACTCCTGTGTCAAATGCAGCACCAACTATTTACATTACAATTGGAATTATCACTGGCACTTATTCAGAAGGTATGCAGACAATATTATTCCAGAGAGTCTGAACATGTTCATCTTGCAATGGATCTGACCTTTTCCAAAGAATAATCTCAGTTGTTCCTATTTTTTATTTATTTTGTTAGTAAAGCAGCCAGCAGTACAGAACTCGTTTTAGTGTGGAATTTATTCTACTCCATGTGTTCCCTCCTAGCATTCACAGACTGTGGCTGTCTCTCCTTTATGATGGAAAGCTTACACATTTTCTGGTTGCTAATGGACACACCTGTCTGCACATCTCAAAATGATGAAGTTAAGATGATAGCTGTAGCTTCAATGGCACATAGGAATACTGATTTGGGTATTTTCAGCACTTTTAATAGCATCTTTAGTTGTCATTCTTTGCTAGTGCTCATGCTTAACATTTGAGATATATAGGTTGAAATCTTAATCCAAACATTAGCACCTCAATGGAGATATAATGAAACCAGCCTTTTATTTACTGCCAAAACCCTAACATTTCAGTGCCAGGCCATATTCTGCAGACTGATAGATCTCAGAATATCTACTTTATAATTATGATACTTCAGCTGCTGAAATACTGGGTGAAGCATGCATGCAGACATAGAGAGATCCCAATCAATACATTGTCACAGCTAGTACTCTAATAAAGTACCAGAAAATCCAGCAGTATTGTTTGTACACAGCAAAGATTAGGCCCAAACTCTCAAACAAAAATCCAGAGACATGATAAATAAAACTAGAGTGGGGTTAGAATATTTAATTTGATAGCATACGGTTCACACACAAACTAAAAACTGCTTTGGTGATTTCTGAACTGCAAAAACAGACAACACCTCATCTGTTTACCCTCTGCCAGAGAGGCAGGCAGTGCTTCAGCTCTTCAGTAATCTGTTGCCATGATACAGCAGCAATGCACAGCTCTGCCTCCTCCTGCCTCTCCCACCTCGGAGCCAGGGCTGTCACACAAGGGCCACAGAGCCACAGCATGGTTCCCAAGGAGGGAACAGAGCAGAAGTTCTGAGCAATCTCTATCTGCATTCATCAATTCCTACTCACAGTAGGATAAAAGAAAGGCTGGAATCTATGACCTGACAGAAATAAGAATATACTGAGATCTTTGCATCCCTTCCTGGCCTTACCTCCTCGAGGCAGCTCCGTGTGCAGGTACGCCAAGCCCCGCGTTATCGAGTGAGCCAAACGACAGGAGCTGACCCAGTCACTTGTGTGGAGACTCAAATATTTGCACAAAGAACCCTGAAAAGAACCCCAGAAAAAGACAAAACAAAAAACCCCCACAGATTAAAATCATTATCCAGTAGAATAACTCAAAATCTTTTGGAGACTCAATTTTATCCACTGCTTCTAAAAGGTATAAACCTGTAACTGCTTTTGGGTTTACCCACATGTTTTAAAACACAGTATTTGACTGAAGTTTCATTCCAGTGCTGCCATTTCATTTCTCTGAAGTGAAATATGAATTTTATCACAGAATAGCAGGGACTGCCTCTAGAAAAAATGATATTAATTATAAAAGTCTTGTTGCAGAACAGAATAAAGGTAATTGCTGACGTAACAGCCTGGGTTTCTAAAATGTGGGCTTTAGACCATTATCACTTAAGCTTTGTTTTTTTTCTTGGCTTAGTGGGTTGACATTTCAACCAATTCTAATGGAGGCCACAGGACTGTTGTCATAAGGTGACTGGCAAAAATTCACTGTATTAAACCAGCTTCAAGATGTTTCTGCTGCAGAGCCTGCCCACCACTAGATGTTTTTTAAGCCAGCTGAAGTCTGTGATTTTATGCTTTTAGTGAAGTTAAAATGATAACCAGGAAGACTTTTAGTCAAGATTTAGAGGGAGATATATTTGTATTTAAGACTATCTTGTCAGTCATGAGTTACACATTAAATTGGGGATATTCGTTCTGACTTTAACTTTTATCAAAAGTGATATTTTTAACAATCAGAGATTCTATTTGTGTTTTAGAACACTTTTTCTGTTGTTCTGAAGAGACAAGAGTGTCTGACTACTGGGGTGATAATTCTGTGGCTATTACATATTTCCTACCACGTCATGCTTTACAACTGACTCCCTTACCGACCTGCTACATCTCAGAGTCCCATCAGAACAGCATGCTGATTGATAAATGCACATAGCATTCCTTTTACTTGCCTATTTCCTTTGGTCTGAGGGCATGTTTGGATAAAAACACAACCTGGCTCAAACCTATCTGTCTTGCTTTCACCAAGGTAACACCAAGAACAATTTTCCGTGTAAAAATGCCCTGACTTGTGTGTTCTTATTTTCAGGAAGGAAAGTATTATGAGGGAGAATGATGTTTTGGATGGGGAATATTTCATCTGCACATCTTGTATGGGTTAGTCCTTATTGAAATCAGATTTATGGCTCCAGTTTGAACACTGGAATTCCCTTCTACCAGGGCTGCCACAGCAGGCTTCCTTTTCTGCTGTTAACTCCACATACAACAGAACATCTGCTCACTAAAATACAGATCACACTGTGCATTAATTACACCTGCTGCGCACTTTTTCCAATGACTTCCAAACAACAGTGGATTGATTTTAGACTAATCTTGCTGTTCTTAATACCACATTGGGAAGGAATCTGATAATATGAAGTCATAAGCTTCATCTGTACATTTAATCAGGTCATTAACAGAGCCTATTTACATAAGCAACAAGACACAAATTGCAATCAAATTACATTTCAACTGAAAATCCTTTCATTCAAGAAAATAGCAAAACCAGATCACTTCTGAAGACAGTTATGCCATGCCTCCTAGGAGCAGAATACTCACTTGATTTTACTTAACTTTCATTTTATTATATGAAAACATGCCAGTTTTGTCAGAATCGCATGCTTTGCCACTATCCATCTGGTATGGGCACAACTGACCTTTTTCATGGTCACTTCCAGTTTCTGCAATCTCTTCTTAGATGCCTGTCTTACAAGCTGACATGATGGAGTGTGTTCTCACTTAGAAGTTTCAATTAAGTCACTTTTTATATTTGTGCTTTGCTGCCTTAAGTTTGTATATAGTGCACAAATGTGTAAATACATACCTGTGTTTAAGGCATGTATTTACATGAGTGCACTTAACTTGCAATACAAGCATATGCACAGAGCCTAAAAAACCCTAAGACAGGCCATCATTACTGCTATGTAGCACTGTCCTGCTCCTTTCTGCTATTCAAATAAGCAGCTGTTGTCCTACTGCCTCCACAAAAGATCAGGCTTCAGCCATTCCCTTCACACTCTGCAGGAAATACAAGTTTGCTTACTTGAGACTAAAAAGCTTGTTAAAGAAAATTATTTAATTGAATAACTAAGGTTCTTTCCCATATACAGGCAAAAAACTCCCCCAAGATAAACTGAGACACCATTTTTTGCATTTTCATATAAATATCCCCCACATACATTTTGTGATTTTTCAGATAAGCTATTCACATTTATACTGTGTAATTTTTAAATGTTTCTGTTTCTGTATATGTGTGTACACACACAGAGCATGAAGTTCCCTAATCCATGAATTTGAGAAATACAAGCCTTCAGTTAGCTGATGAGATTTGAAGGTTCTGGAAAGTAAGGCTGCCTTCTTAAGACACATCCTACATCATCAGTATATGCTACAGAAAGCTTTAAAGAAGATACCAGGATAAAAAGTCACTATGATTTATAGTACTATAAACTAGTTTGACAACGATCTTGTATCTATTACATTTCACTGTAAAAAACCTCACTATTTACAGCTATTGAGCGATGCCATAAGACAGAGATAATGTCTTAATATTAAGAAGTTTTACATTTATTAGATTACTTTTAAGTAAAAACAACTTTTCAAATTCTGTCATTGAATAAAGACAAAATTGACTAAAAAAACCTTGAACCAAAACCAAGACCAAGTACTCCAGAGCTAGGAATTTGTAAGACTACATTTGGTAGCACTAACCAGGAAGTCTAAAAAGGTATTACAGTAACCCACAATAAGATCCATTAAAACTGTCATTGATATGGATTATTTTTACATTACTGTGCAAGAGGCACCACCAAAACCTAAAGTACCTCCTTTTCACGTGGCTATTCTTAGGATTCTTAACCAACCCGACTGATTTTCTTGAAGCACTTACATTGGGGTAATATTCCATCACCAATAAATATTCCATCCGGCCGTCTGCAGTGAACCTCTCATCCCCCACAATGAAGCGGGCGATGTTCTCGTGCTCCATCAGTGGAATCCTGTAAATGTTCCTCTCATTGACAAAGTTCTGACGATTGGCAAAAGAAAAGACTTTCACAGCAACTGGGCGTTCATCTAGGGAACCTTTATACACTGCTCCGTACCGCCCCCGGCCAATCAGCTGCAAAAAACAGAAATAATTTGTTCACAAAATAATAGGTGAAGACAAAACCCGAGTTTTCACTCTACAAGAATTGTATGCCAACTTTTATCCTGACTTATACTATAATACAGTGAAGATGACGAGTATTTTGTAATGAAAACCAGAATTAGAATGCTTTCATAGAGGCTATTTTGGAGTTAGAAACCTCAGCATAGGCCAACGTAGCCTTTACTAAACTGATTTATAATCTCAATATCCATACATATATAATAAATAATCTAGTCAGTATTTTTATATACAGAATCAATAAAACACATCTGTTTAGTGCTGCTAATTCTCTTACAACTTTTGCCTACTAAAGATTTATAGCTTTTATGTGATCAATTTCATTTCACTCCAGAAATCACAGACTTTAAGGGAAATAATTTAGGTTTAGGGCAGTTTGTAAGCTGTACCTTTCAGGTTAGTAGTGACAAAATATGCATTTGTAGTGCAAAATAGATGCCAAAAGAGGTGGAAAGATTTTAAAAGAAGGGAATAATTAATTCCTGACTACCTGTGAATATTTATTCTAGCCCCCACTATATTAGACAGTCTTCAAGAATGGCCTTTCACATCTCCATAGTAACTGCAGAACAAAGAAGTGATCTCTAAGCCAAAATGCAGGGCCACCTTCAGGAAGAGCCCTCATTTCTAAAGCTCAAAAAATTCCAACTACATAAGAATTTAAGCACCTATGTAAAATAATTTTCAGGAAGACCCATACATGAAACTGTAAGGATTTCATTAGCCATTTTTTAAACTTTTTAAATACTTACAAATAGAGGAGGAAGAGAAAACAGAAGGGATAACAAAAGTAATGTTTCTAAAGATTATAAAATTGTCTTACAGGAAAGTTTTCAAAAATAAAGCATCATTTAATTGAGAAACTTTCTGTTTCTCAGTCCTTTGATAGCACTGTGTTGCAAAACAGCAGCAAGTCAGCTCAAGGTATGAATGTGCAATGTAGTCTACCCACAGAGATGTCCAAAGGCAAGCACAGGTTAAAACATTTGTCCCTGTGACTGCAGGCAAGGGGTCAGAAAGGCCATAGCCTTTCTCTCTACCAAGTTTCAGACTTGGAGAAAGTCGCTGCTTTCTTCAAGACTGCATTATCAGTACAAGTGCTTCCATCTGGGGCTTTGCACACTTTTACAAAACCCATTGTTAGACTCTCCTAAACTCTGCCTCAAGTCCTTTTTTGGTGTCAGAAGACACCTAAAGTTCTTTGCTGATCAGTGCTGTCACCATTAGAGAACTCACACTGCATGTCTGCAGTCTGCATCTCCAGGTGGGGCTTCTACTGGGAAAAAGAAGAAAAGCACCACTCTGCATCTCAGTTGTTCTACTCATTTTTTCCTGGCTAAAAGGTTTTAAAAATTCCATATGCTATATCAAGCATACCAACTGGAAGCATAACATTTTGCAGTTTTGTGATGATATCTCTAACACCGAGCTGAGCAGAAAGTTCTGGTTGGCCTCTAGTTGCCATGGAGCTGGATAGCGCCCCACAGGGAAGAATGACTTCACAGAAATGCACCATATACTAAAATATACCACCCTATGTGCAGTAAATTCTATTTTCCAAGAGTGTTACTAAAGAATTTTAAATTCCTACAGTAGGACACTGTATTAAAAGCAAGCAGTGTCAAGCAAAACAGATGGATCTTCTGATGCAATGCTGAAATATAGCACCTTCTAATTTTCCCCACTACCTCCCAGGGTTTCTTATTTTGTTCTCAAGGTAAAACATGTTCTAGCAAATGCCAACAACATTACTAAAAAAATTAGACAAAATGTACCTGCAATAACCCTTTTTTATTTTAATTTCTTCTTGAAGCTGTGATTTAGAAGCAAATATTACAGGAGCACTGATACATTCATTTCTGTAACTATGCCTGGGATATGACCACAAGCATTATATTAAATAAAAATAAAGATTAATAACTGAGTTGAATATTTACCTCTAACAACTTTAGATTATCCAGATCCAATGAGGGCTCTGATGCTGCTGCCTCCATCATGTTCATACTGTGCAAACCTTGTTTACGGTCTCCTGGGGGAGAGGGTGAGGAGGAAATCAGCCAGTTTCCTTTCTGGACATGCTCCAAGTGAAAAAAATGCAACTTACCTGGGACCTGGCAGAATTACATATAGTAGGCAAGGATGAAATAAGTAAAAAGAAGTCCTGTAAAATCTTCTCAAAATCAGCAAAATGAGCAGTGAAGGTGCTGATAAGCCACAAACTAGAGATATCTGCTACACAACTATTTTGATAATTCAAAGTCACTGGCAATAACTATAAAGCATGTTCACCACCTCACTTAAGCTGTGCTGAGCAGAGGATTTGTAGAAGAAAAATGGGTCCCAAAATGCCAGCTTAGAGAAGTCATAACTCTCTCCAAACTGTTATAAAAGGAATATCACCATAAAATGTCAGAGAGGAGAAAGGGGAGCAGCATTATGTACAAGCATATAACAGGACTGGGGAGAACAGAAGACCTAAGTATAGCTCTGAGCAATAGCCAAACAAACAATGGAAAAAAACAAAGCCAAAAATATTGTCAAGCCCTACCTGCAAGCATCCTGTATCCAAAGAACAGAGCAGCTATGAGAACAGCCAGTACAGACACAGATGCCAGGGCAATAACGATGGTCTCATCTCGATGAAAAGAATGAGAAGAATCTGAAAGCAAACAAGATGAGGACTCTTTAATTGTAAATTTGAAAGAATCAACACTATAAAACATGTAATTGTTATTACAACAATGAGAAGAAAAATGTACTCTGGATTGTCTAACATCCCACATCCTTTTCCCCTCAACATCTAGGGATGGCAGAAGAGCTGGTCAGCCCAAAACCAGCTGGGCACACATCCATCAGCAGCCTGGCCCAGGTTTCCCTTGCCCTGCAGCGAGAGGCACTGACAGCAGAAAGTGATCCTTCTTTCTATCTGGCAAAGTTCAGCACAGCCATACAAGGCCAAGCTGATGCAGCTCTCATCTGTTATCTGTGCCTTAATCCACTTTCCTGGTATGAATCAGGTTTGTCACCTTTACAAGGTTTTTTTATTGTTTTTCCCAGGACAAAAATCTCAGTTTGCAAACTGGGCTGCAAATATGATGAAAATTGAATGTTTCACATTCACTCAAATACCTAAAACATACATAAGTCCACTTAAGCAAATATTTCAAAATACTTGGGGGTTTTGATTCGTGTAAGTGCTCAGATAATTATTGGCATAATTTTTAACACACAAAAAGACAGAAGTATCTCTACAGACTGAAGCAGGAAATCTGAAACAAAAATAAAACACTAAACAAAATTAAATGAAACTAGTTTTATTGAGTCTGTTGTAAAACATAATTTGACTTTTTCTCAAAATTAGTATCTTGCTTTTTCAGGTTTTCTTGGTTGGGTTTTTTATTTTCCCAGAGAGGAAAAAAGATTTCCTGAAAACATTTGTTAGTGCCTTGAAATGTTCCTCCATGTCAGAGTCCAGTCTTGCTTCTTGCAGGCGTATAAAAATCCAGCCGCTTTAATACAAAAAATTATTAGTGCAGATACTCTTCTGGTGTCAGAATCGCTGGAATGTGGCGCTACAAAACCTCATTTACTTTGGCTTCAAAACCAAGTTTGGGAACTATGTTTAAGCATGTCTTACATACTGCAAAAAGTACTCCTTAAAAGACTGTAATGAGACCTAACTAGGCTAAAACCACAAAATATAAAATGCACACAAGACTTAAACATTGAATAAACTTTTAGGTGAGACTGAAATACAATTTATCCCAATCTATACTAGCTGAATAAACTGACAAATTCACTTTTCTTGGATTGCATTTAAAAGAAATTCAACATTATTCACTACTTCATTTTCCCAGTATGGACATACACAAGAGAACCATGTAAGAAGGAAAAGCAAATTTAAACGACAACAACTGTCCTTTTTACATAACCACAACAGTAAGGGGAAATAATGAAAAGCTGGTAAAATAGAATGCCAGAGAGAATTTCAGCTGTGACAGAAGTATGTGAAAAATCACCTATCAAAACCAACATGCAGCTCATATCTGATACTCACCTTAAATAAAACAGAGCTTGTGATAAATCACAATACCATCAAATTTAAATTTGTTCTATCAAAAGAAATACCATCACTACTGGTTTTGGTAAAATAACTTTCACCATGAAAATAAGATACTGGCATAGAACACTAATGTGTAATATGAGCTGTGACTTCTGTAGTGAGGAGATGAAAAGATACACATTATAATTGTCATCTAAATTATGTATTCAAAGCATAGGCATGCATATATATTGAAAGCCACAACATCATAAAGGAAACTGTTACATTATACAAAGCTATATGAAACATGACACAAGTGCAAGCAGATGAGTAACTGCTGGCAGGGAAATGGTAGTTTTGACTTTCATATTTTTATGAATGAAATTTACATTTTATTGGGCTATCTTTTAAAACATATATTAAATGTGGAGGGTTTTGCATCAGTTCAAGACAGTTCCTAGCACGTACTAAGGAGTAGCAGGTTTGCAGAGACTGACCCTTTGGTTATAATCCCAGCTGTATTTTCCTTGCCTGCACAACTAGAGCACAGCCATTTGCTACCTTCCCATTGCCAAATAACCAGCAATCATTTCCCTCATGGTGTGCCAAATGATATCTGGTGCTCGAGTTTGATTGCTCTTCTTTAGTTTTCTGTATAATCAAAGGCTTAACAACATGCCTCCATCAGGAGGGCCCTCCACTACCCTAGAAAGGATTTTGCTGTTCAAGGGCATGCTGAGCAACACATTCTTCCACAGCTCTGGCTGCCTTGGCACACTCCCCTTAGAAGCCTGTGAATGTTGACATTCTGCAGGCTGAAGAGATACCAGAAAATCTCAAGACAGCATTTTGCTCCCCTCAGCAGCTGAAAAACACACAGAGAAAAAGGATAATTTCTCTCTCCTTCCTTGATGGACCATCCCTTCTGCAGCCTTTTTCTGTTTAGGGGGTAGCTGTGCAGCCACCAGGTAACCTCACAGACCTCCCTGGCCTTCCAGAGGAAACAATGTTTTAATTTTTTTTAAGGAGAGTTGTTTCATAAGAATTTTAGATTGGCATATATTGAACTAATTTTCAATTCTTACAAATATTTAAAAATAAAACTGTCAACATTCCAACAGCCAAATCAGTCCTACAGTGCAAGTTACTACTGTCAGGATGATGAACAATAATAATAAATTTAAGAATAAATACACATTTCTTAGTAAGGGTAAGTGAGCATCTCAATGGAGTGACAACATGCAGCTCAAAACAGCATGAGTGAGTAAAGTGCTGTGTGTGACAGCCAGTCCTTTCCCAGCAAGGACAACTTCACTCTCTTTTGCTTGTAAATCTACACCAAAAGGAAAGCACAAAAACCCCACCATGACAAAAGGCCCAGACAGCTCCAATGCCTCCCTCACCCCCAAAAGTGCTATTTCTATCAACCCTCTACCTGCTTTGTAAAACAATTACTTTGGATGTTGTCAGATTATCAATCTTTCTTAAACAGAACAAAAAGGATATGTCACTTATCAACCCAGTTTCAAAACCTTCCAAAACTTTAATTAACTCACTGTTTTTATTAATCCTTGTCTGGATATATTTAATCTTTAGTCTTTCACACCATACTCACCTTTAAATGTCTAGCTAAGAACCATACAGGACCTCTCAAGGCACATGGAGAGGTTCACAACTGCTCTTTTACATACTTCTAAGTAATAATTCATACAAGTTTTTTATATGCATATGCACAAGAGTCATGTTTCTCTTGGTATTATTTGGAGATATGTTTTAACTAACTCACCAAAAGACACATCAGTGTAGGTCAATAAAAGTAATCACTAACCTTTAAGCAAGGCACTTTTAAAATAAGGATGTAAAATGCACAAGTATAGAAGTTCCTTTTCATGCTTTTGTCCATGAACTCATGGTCTGGGTGAAAACAACCGTGACTCATTGTGATTGGGACATTCCTTATGAAAGGTATGATTTGATATTACATTTTCCTGAACTAACATTTGGTTGGTCTTCAACTGTTGACAACCCCTCCCTCAAATCAGTGGATTCTGCTTTTCAAGTTTATTTACAGGACCAGACACGTGCCCTACAGCTTCAGTATTTCTTCATCATGTCATTGTACAAACTGACTTTAAACATGTCTAACAACCACTCAATAATCTCATTTGAGTTTTTTGAATCATTACTAATATTGGGGTACATAGTGACAAATATCAACTGATTCAAAAACACTGTTTTCAAATCTCAGACTGGGAGTGCTGGTATCTCAGTATTATTTCCAAAACAATGTACTGCATAAAAACAGCAATGCCATAAAGGGCAGAATTAGCTGCAGACTCTAGACAATCCAATAATTAAGGAGTTGGCTGCTGAACTAAATTCTACCGACAGTTGTACACAGAAGATCTTGTCAGAGCTTTCTCCTATTTATGTTACTGTAACTGAAAGGAAGGCTAATGAAGGTGCTTGTTTCACTGCTACTTGTTACTGAGGTTTTTATTTCCAACTTCAGCTTAGGCTCCCTCATCTACACCAAATGTGCCACAACAAAAACTTGAAACCAACAGAAACTGCTGTAAGGTCCAAACAACCTTAAAAGCCAATTTCTTACCCCACTTGAATGGGAAGGGGAGCACTGCTCACAGATCTACTGACTCTACAAGCAGCAGTGCAGAGATTCCATGTGGAAGGCACCCAGCATGTACCCACTTCTGTCTTGGAACATTTTACCAGTAATTCTTACAGTCTACCAAGTCTAGCAATCCCATCACAAAGAAATATCACAGCAGACAGTGCAATTTTTTTTTTAAAGTAAGAAAAAGAAACAGAGCACAACTCATCAAAACAGAAGGACAACCTCTTTCTGGCTGGGGAGCAGCTGGTAGCCAACAGGCCACCATTCCCAGAAGTGTCCTGACCTCATCACCAATAAAGGGCTTGTTTTCAGGTTCCAAAACCCAAGTACAACAGCTCCTGTGTATGGAGAAGGTACACACAAATAATTGGGAATGAATTTCAGAGCAAACCACGAAGAGGAAAGCTTCCAGTATTCAGTTAGAAGTGAGTCATCTGGCTGAACCCAGCCCTGCTCTTGGGACACTCCCTGCAGGCACTTCTACCACATGAAGCATTTCTCTCCCTTTTCTCAGACATGACTGCCATAACATTTTCCAAGCACTTATACAGTATCTTTGATGAATTGAGGATTTTGGATTAAGCTTCCATACTACCACACATGGAAGTTGTCAAACTGCAGCCTTCCTAAACTTCCCCAGGAATGACATACAATGAAGAATACTGCCAGTGCTAATGGCATCAGGAAGATCAATGTTTTTTCTTCAAAGTAACTTTTCCATTATAAACGTAAGGTTGTAATATTAATTAATGCAAAAATATTCCAACTGTGCCTATGCTTGAAAAAACTTTTTTTCTCTCTAATTTAACTTTCAAAAATTAAAGCCTCTTTTGTAGGCTTCCTGTTTCCATAATTTAAAATCAGCGTTTATCCTATGACCAAAGAAAGTTGTGAGAAATGAGAGAAAACTGAGACAAGCCAGGTAACAAGAGCCAATGGCAAATGAGTCTGTAAACATACAGAACACTCCTTCCTGGGAGCC